TCCTTCTGCAGTTGTTGCTGCTGAAAAAGTTGTTGCTGCTGAAGGAACTCTACAGTTGTTGCTGCTGAAGGAACTCCTTCTGCAGTTGCTGCTAAGGAACTCCTCTGCAGTTGTTGCTCCTGAAGGAACTCCTTCTGCAGTGTTGCTGCTGAAGAACTCCTTCTACAAAGAACTCCTTCTGCAGTTGTTGCTGCTAAAGGAACTCCTTCTGCAGTTGTTGCTGCTGAAGGAACTCCTTCTACAGTTGTTGCTGCTGAAGGAACTCCTTCTGCAGTTGTTGCTCCGAAGGAACTCCTTCTGCAGTTGTTGTAAAGGAACTCCTTCTGCGCTAAGGAACTCCTTCTGCAGTTGTTGCTGCTGAAGGAAATCCTTCTGCAGTTGTTGCTGCTGAAGGAACTCCTTCTGCAGTTGTTGCTGCTGAAGGAACTCCTTCTGCAGTTGTTGCTAAAGGAACTCCTTCTGCAGTTGTTGCTCCTGAAGGAACTCCTTCTGAGTTGTTGCTGCTGAAGGAACTCCTTCCTGCTGCAGAAGTTGTTGCTGCTAAAGGAACTCCTTCTGCAGTTGTTGCTGCTGAAGGAAATCCTTCTGCAGTTGTTGCTGCTGAAGGAACTCCTTCTGCAGTTGTTGCTGCTGAGGAACTCCTTTCTGCTGCACTGCTGAGGAAATCCTTATGCTGTTGTAAATGAACTTCTGCCTACTGCTAAGGAACTCCTGCAGCTCTGCCTGCTGAAGGAACTTGCTCTGCTTACTGCTGAAGGAACTCCTGCAGTTGTTGTGCTGAAAAAATCCTTCTGCAGTTGGTGCTGCTGATGGAACTCTTTCTGCAGTTGTTGCTGCTGAAGAAACTCCTTCTACAGTTGTTGCTGCTTAAGGAACTCTTTCTGCAGTTGGTGCTGCTGATGGAACTCTTTCTGCAGTTGGTGCTGCTGATGGAAATCCTTCTGCTGTTGATACTGCTGATGGAACTCCTTATGCTGTTGGTACTGCTGAAAGAACTTCTGCTCTTGGTACTGCTAATGGAACTCCTGTTGTTGGTACTACTGATGGAGCTCCTGCTTTTGGTACTACTGAAGGAACTGCTTCTGCTGTTAATACTGCTGAAGGAAGCTACTGATGGAACACCTTGTGCTGTTGGTGCTACTTATGGAACTCCTTCTGCTGTTGGTGCTACTGAAAGAACTTCTGTTCGTGCTGCTGAAGGAACTCCTTCGGAAGTTGTTGCTGCTGATGGAACTCCTGCAGTTGTTGCGGCTGATGGATCGCCTTCTGCTTTTGGTGCTGTTGATGGAACTCCCTCTCCAGTTGTTGCTGTTGATGCAACTCCTGCTGTTGCAGTTACTTATGGAACTCCTTCTGCAGTTGTTGATGCTGAAGTAATTCCTTCTGCAGTTGGTGCTGGTGATGGAACTCCTTCTGCAGTTGTTGATGCTACTGAAATAACTTCTGCTATTCGTGCTGCTGAAGGAACTCCTTCGGCAGTTGTTGCTACTGATAAAACTCCTGAACTTGTTGCTGCTAATGGAACTCTCTCTGCTGTTGGTGGTACTTTAGTTCTTGTTGCTGAATGAACTCCTTCGGCAGTTTTTCCTGCTGATGGAACTCCTTTGACAGTTGTTGCTGCTGATGGAACTCCTTCTGCAGTTGTTGCTGCTGATGGAACTCCTTCGGCAGTTGGTATTGCTGAAGGAACTCCTTCTACAGTTGTTCTTGCTGAAGGAATTTCTTCTGCTGTTAGTGCCTCTGATATAACTCCTTCTGCAGTTGGTGCTGCTGATGGAACTCCTGCAATTGGTGCTGCTGAGGGAAATCCTTCTCCTGTTGGTACTGCTGAAAGAACTCCTTCTGCTGTTGGTGCTGCTGATGGAACTCTTTCTGCTGTTGGTGCTGCTGATGGAACTCCTGCAATTGGTGCTGCTGAGGGAAATCCTTCTCCTGTTGGTACTGCTGAAAGAACTCCTTCTGCTGTTGGTGCTGCTGATGGAACTCTTTCTGCTGTTAGTGCTGCTGATGGAACTCCTTCTGCTGTTGGTGCTGCTGATGGAACTCCTGCAGTTGGTGCTGTTGAGGGAAATCCTTCTACATTTGGTGCTGCTTTTGGTACTACTGAATGAACTTCAGCAGTTGTTGCCGCTGATGGAACTCCTGCTTTTGGTACTGCTGAAGGAACTCCTACTGCTGTTGCTACTGCTGATGGAACTCCTTCGGCAGTTGGTACTTCTGAAGGAACTCTTGCATTTGGTACTGCTAATGGAAGACCTTCTGCAATTATTCCTGCTGATGGAACTCTTTCTACTGTTGGTACTGCTGATGGAAATCCTTCTGCAATTGATATTGCTGAAGGAACTCATTTTACATTTGCTACTGCTGAGGAAACTCCTTCGGCAGCTGGTATTGCTGATGAAACTCCTTCTGGGGTTGTTCCTGCTGATGGAACTCCTGCAATTGTACCAACTGCAGTTGTTGCTTCTGTTGGAACTCCTGCTGTTGGTACTGCTGATATAAATCTGTCTGCAGTTGGTACTGCTAATGGAACTCCTTTTGCAGTTGTTCCTGCTGATGGAACTCTTTCTGCTGTCGGTGCTGCTGATGAAATTCTTTCTGCTATTGGTGCTGCTAATGGAACTCGTCCTGCTGTTGGTACTGCTGAAATAACTCCTGCTGTTGGTACTGCTGATGGAACTCCTGCTATTGGTACTACTGATGGAACTCCTTCTGTTGGTGCTGCTGATGGAACTCCTGCAGTTGGTACTGCTGTAGGAACGCCTTCTACAGTTGGTGCTGCTTTTGGTACTGCTGAAGGAACTCCTGCAGTTGGTGCTGCTGATGGAACTCCTGCTGTTGGTACTGCTGAAGGAACTCTTTCTGCAATTGTTGCCGCTGATGGAACTCCTTCTGCAGTTGGTGCTGCTGAAGGAACTCCTGCAGTTGCTACTGCTGATGGAAACTCTTCTACGTTTGATGCTGCTGAAGAAGCTCCTTCGCCAATAGGTACTGCTGATCAATTCCTCCTGCTGTTGGTATTGCTGAAGGCACTCCTGCTGTTGGTATTGCTGATGGAAATCCTTCTGCAGTTTTGTACTGCTGAAGAAACTCCTTCGGCAGTTGGTACTGCTGATGGAACTAATGCTGTTGTTACTGCTGAAGGAACTCCTTCTGCAGTTGATACTGCTGAAGAAACTCCTTTGGCAGTTGTTCATGCTGATGGAACTCCTTCTGCAGTTATTCCTGCTGATGGAACTCCTGCAGTCAATACTGCTGATAGAAATCCTTCTACTGTTGTTACTGCTGATGGAAATCCTTCTGAAAATGATACTGCTGAATGAACTCATTTTACATTTGGTACTGCTGAAGAAACTCCTTCAGCAGTTGGTATTGCTGATGGAACTCCTGCACTTGGTGCTGCTGATGGAACTCCTTCTGCAGTTGGTGCTGCTGATGGAACTCCTTTTGCAGTTGGTACTGCTGATGGAACTCTTTCTGTTGTTGGTGCTGCTGATAGAACTCCTCCTGATGTTGGTACTGCTGAAAGAACTCCTTCTGCAGTTAGTACTGCTGATAGAACTCCTTTTGTTTGTGCTGCTGATGGAACTTCTTCTGCAGTTATTGCCGCTGATGGAACTCCTTCTGCAGTTGGTGCTGCTGATGGAACTCCTTCGTCAGTTGTTACTGTTGATGGAACTCTTTCTGTTATTGGTATTGCTGAAGGAACTCTTTCGGCAGTGTGTACTGCTGATGGATCTCCTGCAGTTGTTGCTGATGGAACTCCTGCAGTTGGTGCTGCTGATGGAACTCTTGCCGTTGGCACTGCTGAAGGAACTTCTACTGTTGGTACTGCTGATGGAACTCTTTCTGTTGTTGGTGCTGTTGATGGAACTCCTCCTGCTGTTGGTGCTGCTGAAAGAACTCCTGCAGTTGGTGCTGCTGATGGAACTCCTTCTGTTGATGCTGCTGATAGAACTCCATCTGCTGCTGGTGCTGCTGATGGAACTGCTTCTACAGTTAGTACTACTATAGGAACTCCTGCTATTGGTGCTGCTTAAGGAACTCCTTCTGCAGTTGGTGCTGCTGATGGAAATCGTTCTGTAGTTGGTACTGCTGAAGGAACTCCTTCTGCAGTTGCTACTGCTGATGGAAATCCTTCTGCAGTTGCTACTGCTGAAGAAACTCCTTTGGCAGTTGGTATTGCGGATGGAACTCCTTCTGAGGTTGTTCCTGCTGATGGAACTCCTGCAGTTGGTATTGCTGATAGAAATCCTTCTGCAATTGCTACTGCTGATGGAAATCCTTCTGCAGTTGGTACTGCTGAATGAACTCCTTCTGCAGTTGTTGCCGCTGATGGAACTCTTTCTGCAGTTGGTTCTGCTGATAGAAATCCTTTTGCAGTGGATACTGCTGATGGAACTCCTTCTGCTGTTGGTACTGCTGAAGGAACTCCTGCTGTTGGTACTGCTGATGGAACACCTGCAGTTGTTCCTGCTGATGGAACTCCTTCTGCTGTTGGTGCTACTGAAGGAACTCCTTCTGCTGTTGGTACTACTGAAGGAACTCCTGTTGTTGGTACTTATGATGAAAATCTTTCTGCAGTAGGTACTGCTGATGGAACACCTTCTGCAGCTGTTCCTGCTGATGGAACTCCTTCTGCTGTTGGTTCTGCTGGTGGAACTCCCGCTGTCGGTACTGCTGAAGGATCTCCTTCTGCAGTTGGTGCTGATGATAGAAATCCTTCTGCAGTTGTTGCTTCTGAAGGAACTTCTGCAGTTGTTGCCGCTGATGAAACTGATGGAAATCTTTTCTGCTGTTGATACTGCTGAAGGAACTCCTCCTGTTGGTACTGCTGATGGAAATTCATCTGCAGTTGGTACTGTTGATGGAACTCCTTCTGCAGTTGGTGCTGCTGATGGAAATCTTTCTTCTGTTGGTACTGCTGAAGGAACTCCTCCTGTTGGTACTACTGATGGAAATCCTACTACAGTTGGTACTGCTTAGTGCTGCTGATGGAACTACTTCTGCAGTTGGTGCTGCTGATGTTGGTGCCACTGATGGAACTCCACCTGCTGTTGGTACTGCTGAAGCAACTTCTGCTGTTGGTACTGCTGATGGAAATCTTTATGCTGTTGGTACTGTGATGGAACACCTTCTGCAGTTGGTGCTGCTGATGGAACTCCTGCAGTTGTTCCTGCTGATGGAACTCCTTCTGCTGTTGGTTCTGCTGATGGAACTCCTGCTGTTGGTACTGCTGAGAACTCCTCCTGCTGTTGGTACTGCTGATGGAAATCTTTATGCTGTTGGTACTGTTGATGGAACACCTTCTGCAGTTGGTACTGCTGAAGGAACTCCTGCAGTTGTTCTGCTGATGGAACTCCTTCTGCTGTTGGTTCTGCTGATGGAACTCCTGCTGTTGGTACTGCTGATAGAACTCCTCCTGCTGTTGGTACTGCTGATGGAACTCCTTCTCCAATTGGTGCTGCTGATGGAACTCCTGGTGTTGGTAATGGTGAAGGAACACAGTTGGTGCTGATGATGGAAATTCTTCTGCAGTTGGTACTGCTAAAGGAACTTCTACTGTTCGTACAGCTGAAGGAACTCCTTCTGCAGTTGGTGCTGCTGATGGAAATCTTTCTGCTGTTGGTACTGCTGAAGGAACTCCGTCAGTTGTTCCTGCTGATGGAACTCTATCTGTTGTTGGTACTGCTGATGGAACTCCTTCTGCTGATGGAACTCCTGCAGCTTTTGCTGCTGAAGGAACTCCTGCAGTTGGTGATGCTGATGGAACTCTTGCCGTTGGTACTGCTGAAGGAACTTCTTCTGCTGTTGGTTCTGCTGATGGAACTCCTACTGTTCGTACTGCTGAAGGTACTCCTTCTGCTGTTGTTCTGCTGTTGGAACTCCTGCTATTAGTACTACTGAATGAACTCTTGCCGTTGGTACTGCTAAAGGAACTCCTTCTGCTGTTGGTTCAGCTGATGAAACTCCTACCGTTGTTAGTGCTGATGGAACTCCTGCATTTGGTGCTGCTGATGGAACTCCTTCTGTAGTTGTTGCTGCTGAAGGAACTCCTTCTGCAGTTGTTGCTGCTGATGGAACTCCTTCTGCAGTTGTTGCTGCTGAAGGAACTCCTTCTGCAGTTGTTGCTGCTAATGGAACTCCTTCTGCAGTTGCTACTGCTGATGGAAATCCTTCTGCAGTTGCTACTGCTGAAGAAACTCCTTTGGCAGTTGGTATTGCGGATGGAACTCCTTCTGAGGTTGTTCCTGCTGATGGAACTCCTGCAGTTGGTATTGCTGATAGAAATCCTTCTGCAATTGCTACTGCTGATGGAAATCCTTCTGCAGTTGGTACTGCTGAATGAACTCCTTCTGCAGTTGTTGCCGCTGATGGAACTCTTTCTGCAGTTGGTTCTGCTGATAGAAATCCTTTTGCAGTGGATACTGCTGATGGAACTCCTTCTGCTGTTGGTACTGCTGAAGGAACTCCTGCTGTTGGTACTGCTGATGGAACACCTGCAGTTGTTCCTGCTGATGGAACTCCTTCTGCTGTTGGTGCTACTGAAGGAACTCCTTCTGCTGTTGGTACTACTGAAGGAACTCCTGTTGTTGGTACTTATGATGAAAATCTTTCTGCAGTAGGTACTGCTGATGGAACACCTTCTGCAGCTGTTCCTGCTGATGGAACTCCTTCTGCTGTTGGTTCTGCTGGTGGAACTCCCGCTGTCGGTACTGCTGAAGGATCTCCTTCTGCAGTTGGTGCTGATGATAGAAATCCTTCTGCAGTTGTTGCTTCTGAAGGAACTTCTGCAGTTGTTGCCGCTGATGAAACTGATGGAAATCTTTCTGCTGTTGATACTGCTGAAGGAACTCCTCCTGTTGGTACTGCTGATGGAAATTCATCTGCAGTTGGTACTGTTGATGGAACTCCTTCTGCAGTTGGTGCTGCTGATGGAAATCTTTCTTCTGTTGGTACTGCTGAAGGAACTCCTCCTGTTGGTACTACTGATGGAAATCCTACTACAGTTGGTACTGCTGTTAGTGCTGCTGATGGAACTACTTCTGCAGTTGGTGCTGCTGATGTTGGTGCCACTGATGGAACTCCACCTGCTGTTGGTACTGCTGAAGCAACTTCTGCTGTTGGTACTGCTGATGGAAATCTTTATGCTGTTGGTACTGTTGATGGAACACCTTCTGCAGTTGGTGCTGCTGATGGAACTCCTGCAGTTGTTCCTGCTGATGGAACTCCTTCTGCTGTTGGTTCTGCTGATGGAACTCCTGCTGTTGGTACTGCTGATAGAACTCCTCCTGCTGTTGGTACTGCTGATGGAAATCTTTATGCTGTTGGTACTGTTGATGGAACACCTTCTGCAGTTGGTACTGCTGAAGGAACTCCTGCAGTTGTTCTTGCTGATGGAACTCCTTCTGCTGTTGGTTCTGCTGATGGAACTCCTGCTGTTGGTACTGCTGATAGAACTCCTCCTGCTGTTGGTACTGCTGATGGAACTCCTTCTCCAATTGGTGCTGCTGATGGAACTCCTGGTGTTGGTAATGGTGAAGGAACACAGTTGGTGCTGATGATGGAAATTCTTCTGCAGTTGGTACTGCTAAAGGAACTTCTACTGTTCGTACAGCTGAAGGAACTCCTTCTGCAGTTGGTGCTGCTGATGGAAATCTTTCTGCTGTTGGTACTGCTGAAGGAACTCCGTCAGTTGTTCCTGCTGATGGAACTCTATCTGTTGTTGGTACTGCTGATGGAACTCCTTCTGCTGATGGAACTCCTGCAGCTTTTGCTGCTGAAGGAACTCCTGCAGTTGGTGATGCTGATGGAACTCTTGCCGTTGGTACTGCTGAAGGAACTTCTTCTGCTGTTGGTTCTGCTGATGGAACTCCTACTGTTCGTACTGCTGAAGGTACTCCTTCTGCTGTTGTTCTGCTGTTGGAACTCCTGCTATTAGTACTACTGAATGAACTCTTGCCGTTGGTACTGCTAAAGGAACTCCTTCTGCTGTTGGTTCAGCTGATGAAACTCCTACCGTTGTTAGTGCTGATGGAACTCCTGCATTTGGTGCTGCTGATGGAACTCCTTCTGTAGTTGTTGCTGCTGAAGGAACTCCTTCTGCAGTTGTTGCTGCTGATGGAACTCCTTCTGCAGTTGTTGCTGCTGAAGGAACTCCTTCTGCAGTTGTTGCTGCTAATGGAACTCCTTCTGCAGTTGTTGCTGCTGAAGGAACTCCTTCTGCAGTTGTTGCTGCTTATGGAACTCCTTCTGCAGTTGGTAATGCTGAAGGAACTCCTTCTGCAGTTGGTGCTGCTAATGGAACTCCTTCTGCTGGTGCTGCTTCAGGAATTACTTGTACAGTTGTTGCTGCTGAAGGAGCTACTTCTGCAGTTGTTGCTTCTGAAGGAACTCCTTCTGCAGTTGTTGCTGCTCATATAACTCCTGCAGCTTTTTCTCTGATGGAATACCTTCTGCAGTTGTTGCTGCTGGAGGAACTTCTTCTGCAGTTGTTGCTGCTGATGGAACTCTTTCTGCTGTTGGTACTGCTGAAGGAACTCCTGCTGTTGGTACTGCTGAAGGAACTCCTTCTGCTGTTGGTGCTGCTGATGGAACTCCTGCTGTTGGTACTGCTGGAGGAACTTCTGCTATTGTTGCCGCTTAAAGAACTCCTTCTGCTGTTGGTGCTGCTTAAGGAACTCCTTCTGCTGTTGGTGCTGCTGATGGAACTCCTTCGGCAGTCGGTACTGCTGATGGAACTCCTGCAGTTGGTGCTGCTGAAGGAATTCCTTCTGCAGTTGGTAATTACGATGGAACTCCATCTGCAGTTGGTACTGCTGAAGGAAATCCTGCTGTTGATACTGCTTAAGGAACTCCTTCTGCTGTTGATACTGCTAATGGAACTCCTGCTCTTGTTGCCGCTTATGGAACTTCTGCAGTTGGTGCTGCTGATGGAACCCCTTCTGCTGTTGGTACTGCTGATGGAGCTCCTTCTGCGGTTGGTGCTGCTGATGGAACTCTTTCTGCAGTTGTTGCTGATGAAGGAACTCGTGCAGTTGTTGCTGCAGAAGGAACTCCTTCTGCAGTTGTTGCTGCTGATGGAAATCCTTCTACAGTTGGTTCTGCTGAAGGAACTCCTTCGGCATTTGGTGCATCTGATGAAACTCCTTATGCAGTTGGTACTGCTGAAGTGACTCTTGCTGTTGGTACTGCTGATGGAAATCTTTCTGCTGTTGTTACTGCTGATGGAAATCCTTCTGCAGTTAGTACTGCTGAAGGATCTCATTCTACATTAAAGAACACCTATTAAATAATCAATTGTAAATGTGAATGTATTTATATAGATAACCATTACAATAAATGGAGTATAGTGTTTTGACTACTGATGGAACTGCTGCTGTTACTGCTCATGGAACTCCTTTTGCAGTTGGTACTTCTGATGGAACTCCTTCTGCTGTTGGTACTGCTGATGGAACCTCTGTTGTTGGTGCTGCTGATGGAACTCCTTCTGCAGTTTTTGCTGCTGATGTAACTCCTGCGGTTGTTGCTCCTTCTGCAGTTGTTGCTGCTGATGTAACTCCTGCAGTTGTTGCTCCTTCTGCAGTTGTTGATGGAACTCCTTCAGCAGTTGGTACTGCTGATGGAACTCTTGCTGTTGGTACTGCTAAAGGAACTCTTGCTGATGGTACTGCTGAAGGAACTCCTTCTGCAGTTGGTGCTGCTAAAGGAACTGTTTCTGCTGTTGATACTGCTGATGGAACTCCTGCCGTTGTTACTGCTGATGTAACCCCTTCTGCAGCTTTTGCTGCTGAAGGAACTCCTTCTGCAGTTTTTGCTGCTGAAGGAGATCCTGTAGTTGTTGTTGCTGAAGGAGCTCCTACTGCAGTTTTTGCTACTGAAGGAGTTCCTGCAGTTTTTGCTGCTGAAAGATCTCCTTCTGCAGTTAGCACCTTCTGCAGTTTTTGCTGCTGAAGGAGCTCCTTCTGCAGTTGTTGTTGCTGAAGGAGCTCCTTCTGCAGTTGTTGCTGTTGAAAGAGCTCCTTCTGCAATTGTTGTTGCTGAAGGAGCTGCTTCTGCAGTTGTTGCTGCTGAAAGAGCTCCTTCTGCTGCTGAAGGAGCTCCTTCTGCAGTTGTTGCTGCTGAAAGAGCTCCCTCTGCAGTTGTTGTTGCTGAAGGAGCTCCTTCTGCAGTTGTTGTTGCTGAAGGAGCTCCTTCTGCAGTTTTTGCTGCTGAAGGAGCTCCTTTTGCAGTTGTTGTTGCTGAAGGAACTCCTTCTACAGTTGTTGTTGCTGAAGGAGCTCCTTCTGCAGTTGTTGCTGCTGAAAGAGCTCCTTCTGCTGCTGTTGCAGTTGCTGCTGAAGGAGCTCCTTTTGCAGTTGTTGTTGCTGAAGGAACTCCTTCTGCAGTTGTTGTTGCTGAAGGAGCTCCTTCTGCAGTTGTTGCTGCTGAAAGAGCTCCTTCTGCAGTTGTTGTTGCTGAAGGAGCTCCTTCTGCAGTTGTTGCTGCTGAAGAAACTCCTGCAGTTGTTGCTGCTGAAAGAACTCCTGCAGTTGTTGCTCCTTCTGCAGTTGTTCATGGAACTCCTTCTGCAGTTTTTGCTGCTGAAGGACCTCCTTCTGCAATTGTTGTTGCTGAAGGAACTCCTTCTGCAGTAGTTGCTACTGAAGAAACTCCTGCAGTTGTTGCTGCTGAAAGAACTCCTGCAGTTGTTGCTCCGTCTGCAGTTGTTGATGGAGCTCCTACAATTGTTGCTGCTAAAGGAACTCCTTCTACAGTTGTTTCTCTGATGGAACTCCTTCTGCAGTTGTTGATATTGGTGTAACTCCTTCTGCAGTTGTTGCTCCTTCTGCAGTTGTTGATGGAACTTCTGCAGTTGGTGCTTCTAAAGGAACTCCTGCAGTTGTTGCTGCTGACGTAACTTCTGCAGTTGTTGCTCTGATGGAACTCCTTCTGCAGTTTTTGCTGCTGAAGGAACTCCTTCTGCAGTTGTTGCTGCTGAAGGAACTCCTTCTACAATTGTTGCTGCTAAAGGAACTCCTTCTGTAGTTGTTGCTGCTAAAGGAACTCCTTCTGTAGTTGTTGCTGCTAAAGGAGCTCCTTCTGCAGTTGTTGCTGCTGATGTAACCCCTTCTGCAGTTTTTGCTGCTGAAGGAACTCCTTCTGCAGTTGTTGTTGCTGAAGGAGCTCCTTCTGCAGTTTTTGCTGCTGAAGGAGCTCCTTCTGCAGTTGTTGCTGCTGAAGGAACTCCTGTAGTTGTTGCTGCTGAAGAAACTCCTTCAGCAGTTAGCTGAAGGAGCTCCTTCTGCAGTTGCTGCTGAAAGAGCTCCTTCTGCAGTTTTTGCTACTGAAGGAGCTCCTTCTGCAGTTGTTGCTGCTGAAGGAACTCCTGCAGTTGTTGCTGCTGAAGAAACTCCTTCAGCAGTTGTTGCTGCTGAAGGAACTCCTGCAGTTGTTGCTGCTGAAGGAACTCCTGCAGTTGTTGCTGCTGAAGGAACTCCTACAGTTGTTGCTACTGAAGGAACTCCTCCTGCAGTTGTTGCTGCTGAAGGAATTCCTTCGGCAGTTTGTACAGCTGATGGAACTCCTGCTGTTGGTACTGCTGAAGGAATTCTTGCTGTTGGTACTGCTGAAGGAAATCTTTCTGTAGTTGGTACTGCTAAGGAACTCCTTCTGCAGTTGGTACTGCTGATGGAACTCCTGCTGTTGGTACTGCTAAAGGAACTCTTGCTGTTGGTACTGCTGATGAAACTCCTTCTGCTGTTGGTACTGCTGATGGAACTCCTTCTGCAGCTTTTGCTGTTGAAGGAACTCCTTCTGCAGTTGTTGCTGCTGAAGGAGCTCCTTCTGCAGTTGTTGCTGCTGAAGGAGCTCCTTCTGGAGTTGTTGTTGCTGAAGGAGCTCCTTCTGCAGTTGTTGCTGCTGAAAGAACTCCTTCTGCAGTTGTTGATGGAACTCCTGCAGTTTTTCTGCTGAAGGAACTCCTACAATTGTTGCTGCTGAAGGAGCTCCCTCTGCAGTTGTTGATGGAGCTCCTGCAGTTTTTCTGCTGAAGGAGCTCCTACAATTGTTGCTGCTGAAGGAGCTCCTGCAGTTGTTGCTTCTAGAGGAACTTCTTTAGCAGTTGATGATGCTGAAGGAATTCCTTCGGCAGTTGGTACTGCTGATGGAACTCCTCCTGTTGGTACTGCTCAAGGAACTGTTGCTTTTGATACTGCTCAAGGAACTCCTTCTGCTGTTGGTGCTGCTGATGGAACTCCTTCTGCTGTTGGTACTGCTGCTGGAACTCCTTCTGCTGTTGGTACTACTGATGGAACTCTTGCTGTTGGTACTGCTGAAGGAACTCCTTCTGCAGTTGTTGCTGCTGATGGAACTCCTTCTGCAGTTGTTACTACTGAAGGAACTCCTGCAGTTGTTGCTGCTGAAGGAACTCCTCCGGCAGTTGGTGCTGCTGATGGAAAATCCTTCTGCTGTTGGTACTGCCGATGGAACTCCTTCTGCAGTTGTTGCTGCTGATGGAACTCCTTCTGCTGTTGGTACTGCTATTGGTACTTCTGATGGAACTCTTTCTGCAGTTGTTACTGTTGAAGGAACTCCTTCGGCAGTTGGTACTGCTGATGGAACTCCTTTAACAGTTGGTGCTGCTGAAGGAATTCCTTCGGCAGTTGTTGCTGCTGATGGAACTCCTTCCGCTGTTGGTACTGCTGAAGGAACTCTTTCGGCAGTTGGTACTGTTGATGGTACTGCTGAAGGAACTCCTGCTGTTGTTTCTTGTGATGTAATTTCTTCTGCAGTTGGTGCTGCTGATGGAACTCCTTCTGCAGTTGGTGCTGCTGATGAAAATCCTTCTGCAGTTGTTGCTGGTAAAGGAACTCCTTCTGCAATTGGTGCTGCTGAAGGAGCTCCTTCTCCAGTTGTTGCTGCTGAAGGAGCTCCTTCTGCAGTTTTTGCTGCTGAAGGAACTTCTTCTGCAGTTGTTGCTGCTGATGGAACTCCTTCTACAGTTGGTACTGCTGATGGTAATCCTTCTGCTGTTGGTGCTGCTGAAGGAACTCCTGTTGCTGAAGGAACTCCCTGCAGTTGGTGCTGCTGAAAGGAACTCTTCGCAGTTGGTGCTACTGATGAAACTCCTGCAGTAGGTGCTGCTGAAGGAATTCCTTCGGCAGTTGTTGCTGCTGATGGAACTCCTTCAGCTGTTGGTACTGCTGATGGAACTCCTGCAGTTGGTGCTGCTGATGGAACTCCTTCTGCAATTGGTGCTGCTGAAGGAACTCCTCCAGTTGTTGCTGCTGAAGGAACTTCTTCTGCAGTTGCTGCTGCTGATGTAACTCCTTCTACAGTTGGTACTGCTGATGGAAATCCTTCTGCAGTTTTTGCTGCTGAAGGAACTCCTTCTGCAGTTGGTGCTGCTGATGGAACTCCTGCTGTTGGTACTGCTGCAGGAACTCCTTCTGCTGTTGTTTCTGCTGATGGAACTCCTGCTGTTTGTACTGGTGAGGGAACTCCTGCTGTTTTGGTCTGCTGATGGAACTCCTTCAGCTGTTGGTACTGCTGATGGAACTCCTGCTGTTGTTTCTTGTGATGGAACTCCTTCTGCTGTTGGTACTGCTGATGGAACTCCTGCAGTTGGTGCTGCTGATGGAAATCCTTCTGGCAATTGGTGCTGCGAAAACTCCTCNTTCAGAACAGATACTAAGAAAAGAACAAGAAAAGATAAAAAGAAAAGAAAAAAGAAAAAGGAAAGAACAGGAAAAAAAAAACAAAAAAGAAAAGACAAAAACAAGAAAAGAAAAGAAAAGAACAGAATAGAATAAATAGAATAAAACAGAATAAATAAAAAAAACAGCATAAAATCAAATAAAACAAAAACATTGAAATAAGCATAAAACATGAAAAAAAAATACATAGAAATAAGGTTGAAATAAGTTAACGTCACCCCAGCTGCCGTGACTCCAAAACTGAAAAATGAAAAAAAAGTAAAAATAATATAAAAAAAAAAACTAGCGACTTCAGAGGCAAGACTGACGACACCACAACCGCAAACACGACCCCAGTAATGTGGGGGGCGTGTGTGGTGTCGTGAGATGTGGAGGACGACCATAGTTGTTGGTCGGTTGGTGGATAGGGTATGGTGGCCGTATGGTGGGTATGGTGGTGGTGGTGTCTCTCTCTATCTTTTTCTATTTCTCTATCTTTCTCTCTATTTCTCGTTCTCTATCATTCTCTCTCTTCTCTTCTCTCTATTTTCTCTCTCTCTCTCTCTCTCTCTCTCGTCTCTCTCTCTCTCTCTCTCTCTCCTCTCTCTCTCTCTCTCTCTCTCTCTCTCTCTCTCTCTCTCTCTCTCTCTCTTCTCTCTCTCTCTCTCTCTCTCTCTCTCTCTCCTCTCTCTTCTTCCTCTCTCTCTCTCTCTCTCTCTCTCTCTCTCTCTCTCTTTTTCTCTTCTATCTCTCTCTCTCTCTCTCTCTCTCTCGTCTCTCTCTCTCTCTCTCTCTCTTCTCTCTCTTCTCTCTCTCTCATAACTATTTATCAATTTATTATCTATCTACATCTGTCTATTTATATCTATCTATCTATCTATCTATCTATCTATCTTATATCTATCTGTTTATCTATCTAACTTTCTGTCTATCTATCTAACTATCTGTCTATCTATCTTAATCTTTCTGTCTATCTATCTAACTATCTGTCTATCATCTATGTCTAGATCTATCTATCTATCTCTCCCACGCTTTTTCCAACCTTTTCCCTTCCTTTTATCTATTTCCGTCATTTACATCCACACCTCATTTACTTATCCTTCTCTCTTCCCTGTCTTTCTTCTCTCTCTCCTTATCTCTCTCTCTCTCTCTCTCTCTCTCTCTCTCTCTCTTTCTCCTCTCTCTCTCTCTCTCATGAAATTATAAATTATTGATTAATAACGGAAGATATAAGTAAGTGAATAAAACGTGAATGAATAAATAGGCGAAAGAATAAACATGAATAGATGAATAAATAAATCCGTATATAATAAAAAAAAACAAAAAAAAACAGGAGGAGCGACGTATATTTTTTTCCATTATGGAGGGGGAAGAGAGGGGGGAGGGGAAGGGGGGAGTCCATCTTTAAGAGCGGGAAGGGGGGGGGAGGGGGAAGGCAGGGGTGTGTGTAGGATTTCTGAAACACGGAGAAGAGGAGGAGGGGGATGGGAGGGGGGAGAGGGGAGGAAGAGGCTAAGTGGGGGGATGATGAGGAGGGGAAGGGAGGGGGGCGTGGTGTGGGAGAAGGGAATGAGAGGGGGAAGTGGTAGGGGGCGTGGTGTAGGAGAGGCTACGGTTAGGGGGCGTGTTGTGGGGGGATGGAGAGAGGGGGTCGTGATGTTAGAGAAAGGGGTAGAGGAGGAAGGACGGGGGGTCAGGGAGGGGGCGTGATGTAAAGGGAGAAAGGGGGTAGAGGAGGAAGGGGGGGAGTGCTGGGCAGGGGAGGGGGCGTGTCTATGAAAACCCAGCCCCGGAATGGTTCGCGAGGCCGCCCCGCCTCCCTCCCTCCGTCGAAGTCCGCAGGAAAGAAGAAAGAGACGAGCTTCCGACACCACGCGTGGGTGGATTCCATCAGCGGCCGCCTTCTTTCGCTTCCCCTCCCTCCCCCCCCACCCCACTCTTCCCTCGTTCCCCTCCCTGTCCTCCTTGTTTTTGTCATGTCTATCTCTGTCTGCTTCTCTCTTCCCCTCCCATCTCCCCTCCCTGCTCCCTGCTCGTCTGCTTACTCCTGTCTCTTCCCTTCTCTGCGTCCCCTCCCTGCCTCGTTTGTTTCGTCTGTCTATCCTGTTTGCTTCCCCCCCTCTCCCCCCTTTTTTTCTTCCCTGCCTCCTTGTTCGTTCTGCCTATCCTGTTTGCTTCCCTCCCCTCCCCCCCCTTTTTTCCTTGTCTGCCTCCTTGTTTCGTCTGTCTATCCTGTCTGCTTCCCCTCTTCCCTCCCTATTCCCTCCTGCCTCCCTGAATTCGTCTGTCTATCCTGTCTGCTTCCCCTCCTCCCCCCCCCCCTTTTTTTTCCTTGTCTCTGCCTCCTTGTTTCGTCTGTCTATACTGTCTGCTTCCCCTCCCCTCTTCCCCTGCCTGTTTCGTCTGCCTACTCTGTCTGCTAACACCCCCCCCCCCCCCCCGTGTTTCTTTCCTTCTCTATCTCCCTACTTCGTCTGCTTACTCCATCTCCTTCTCTGTCTCCCTATGTGCCTACCCTGTCTGCTTCCCTTTCCCCTGTTTCCATCCCTGTCTGCCTCTCTGCCTGCCCCGTCTTCCTATCTGCTTTTTTTATCCTCCTTCCTCCTACCTTCCTCCCTGTCTTGTCTGCTTCCTCTGCTTATTCCTCTATTTTTTTCTTTCCCCTTCCTCTGTCCGCCAATGCTATCTGTTTTTCTACATCTTCCCCCTTCGTTTGTATGCCTACCATGCCCGTTTTGTTTGTTTGTTTGTTTGTTTTTATCTGCCTCTTCCCCCGTTCTCCCTGTTTACTTCTCTGTCTCTCTTTCTTTGGGTCATTCGTGAGTTACCTTCTTCCCTCCTTCTCCCTGAGCCTCTCGTTCTTCATGAGTCAGTGAATCACTCTTTTCCCTGATCTTACCCGAGTCATTCATGAGTCACTCTCTTGATCCAATCTCCTTGAGTCTCTCTCTCTCTCTCTCTCTCTCTCTCTCTCTCTCTCTCTCTCTCTCTCTCTCTCTCTCTCTCTCTCTCTCTCTTCTCTTCTCTCTCTCTCTCTCTCCCTGAGTCATTCACTCTTTTCTCTGATTCTATCTGAGTCATTCATGAGTCATTCTCTTCTCTCGTTCTCCCTAATCTCTCTCTCTCTCTCTCTCTCTCTCTCTCTCTCTCTCTCTCTCTCTCTCTCTCTCTCTCTCGTCTCTCTCTCTCTCTCTCTCTCTCTCTCCCTGAGTCACTCATGAGTCACCCTCTCCTTCTCCCTAAGCCTCTCTCTCTCCCTGAGTGACTCACTCTCTCCCCTCATTCTATTTACATTCCCTCTCTCTCTCTCCCTGAGTCAATGAGTCCCTCTCTTCTCTTTTTCTCCCTGAGCCTCCCCTCCCCGGCCCCTCCTCCCCCTCTACCCCCCCCCCCCCCCGCACACACACACACACACACACACACACACACACACCGGAAGGACGCGAAGGGATGAGCGTGTCGTGGCGTGTGTGCGTGGAGTGTATCTCTCCCTTTCCCTCCCGCCGGCCTCGTGAACCGTGTTGAGTGCGGGCGAGAGCGGGGGCATGGGCGTGTCGTGGGCGGTGTCAGCGACGGGCTTCAAGAAGGCCCGGCCGTCACAGCGTGGGCGCAACGCTGTTATCATGTCATCCCGCCCAATCCACTTTAATTGCGAGGGTCCTGCTAGTGACGATCATTTGGCCGCCGCTCCAACAATGGCGCTGCATCGTTACCCCATCAGAGGTCGTTAGCTTATCAGGCCTTGTTCATTTGATCTGTAGCGCGTCGCCGGGTCTCACGACGAGAAGAAAGGCGCCTCAGATTTGACTAATTCCCTCGGGGAG